ACACTAAGTAGAATCTGCCTGCTATTTTCCTGACTAGACAAAAACAGCTTTTATTTGCTTCAGTTTCCAGCTTCTAGCAGTGCTCTGGCTGCAGTACCCATTCCATGTAGGTACATGGGCCAGACTGAACGCTCCTGCAGAGCACCACTCTTGAGCATCAGAATGAGTACTGTGTGTAACCACGGGCGTCACATTTAAGGAGAAACTCTTTCCTCCTCTACTTGCCCACTCGGTCCCTTCCACTCCTCTCCCCATCCCACCCCCACATAAAAAAGTGGCCAGAGAGAACTAGTAAATATGGTAGGAAACGAAAAAAAAAATCATAGTCTATAGGAAACAACTGAAAGAAATAGTGCAACCAGCTAAGAAAGCAAAAGGCCATCAGGGAAGGAAAATGCATGAAAGGTTATTGTAAGAGAAGGCAATTAGTTTTTCTGCATGTTCATCTCATGTAGGACAATACTTAATCAGCTTAATGAGCTTAGTTTGCAGTAAGGGAGATTGAGGTTAAGTATTAAGAGAAACTTTCTCACTGTATTGAAATATAAGCACTGAAAGAGGTTGCCAAGGATCTGGAGCAGTCCACCTCTTTGCCAAAGGGTAGGCAGTTCAGTTCATCTAGATCTGCATTGCAACAGGCTAGAGGCCTTTCTGAAATCCTTCCTGGTCACTTCTATGATCCTTATCTCCACCTTGGAGAAGAGGAAGGGCATCAATGGGATATGATTCTCCTCCCTTAGGCTCCAACACAAGGGGTGTCAGAGAAGAAATAATGTCACAGAGCACACCATACTCCTGTTGTTCTGAGCCAGCATCTCCTGTTGCTGGAGCAATATGGAGGCACCTCAACTTCTGGGGCACCTTTCTTGTTTCTTTTAACAATTCATTCCTAAAAACTTTCACAACAGTCCAGTGACCAAAGAATGAGCCTCTGGCAATGATTATGAGTGGCCTGTGACTTTCCAAGCTGCAGTAATGCAGATAATAAAGCCACTGCTAAGTGGAAACAAAGCTTGTGAAAATGTTTCGTTGCACAAGAAGCACCCCAATTTCTAATCCCCAAAGAAAAAGAGAATTTTCTGATTCACTATAGAGTTTCCTATACAGCAAGCATTGTTTGCATGCAGTGGAACAGTCATAAGAAGGTTATGCTGTCAACAAATGAAAATTCAGTACATTACTCACAGCTTACCTAAGGTAACTTTATTCAGCACTACCCACAGATTTACATTCTCCCATTGAAATCTACAGTGACCGCACAGAGCCTCCCTCAGAGCGTAATGTTAAAAAAGGAGAAGTAAGGCTCTGTAGCCAGTGCACATCCCTCTCTGCAGATCTGTGCCCACTTGTAGTTCATAAACGATAATGAACATAATCCAAAGGTCACATCCTATATTGCTAGAAAAGTCATTGTTGGTCTCAGAGAGTTTACCAGGTCTGAAGGGGGCAGGCAAAGAGTATGTACCAATGCAGCTGACGGGAAAGGGAGAAAGGGGAGGAGAGTGCATGGGTTTGTTTCGTAATGATTATTTATTAAGTTGTAGTAATGAGGGCTATGTAAGCAAAGGCAACTGAATAATCTCAGGGATTCCCACATGAGGACATCATAAGGAGGATTAGACCTAGCCCAGTCAGCTCCCCTGTTATTGCCTTCAGTATGGGGTAGTGAGCTGACTTAATTTTACAGGTTTTTTTGTGGGTTTTTGTTTGTTTGTTTGTTTAGATCCCAAATTAACCAACATCCTTTTAAAGCTGCAAACTTACAGTTACCATGCATGTAATCACTCAGCCCACTTTCATCTATGAAGTTATTTACAATCTCATCTGAATGAGAACTTCAGATCAAGCTTTTTGTCATAAAAGAAAGCAGCTGAACAAACGAATGCTTAATAATGGTTTTAGATCAAGAAGATGGAATTACTGGGCAGTACAGTGCATGGAGGATCTTTACCAGTGGATACCAAGCCACCCCTGCAGCTAGATTACAGGAAGCCAGCTATTTGTCTGGTGCTAGTTTTCCTCCCTTCCACTGCTGCACTGTGTTACTGTGTTACAGAACATGCACATATACAATGACAGACAAGAAAGCTGTCTTGATCCAAGTGTATTCTGAAACTGCAAATGGTAAATGGTTACCTGCAAGGCTACAAAGTGAACAAAAACTTGATAGAGTAAAAGATCACAAAAAGAACTAACAACATGATCTAAAAGAAATTGGAGAGAATAAAACTATGAACAATGAGAGTCCAGCCAAGCTATTCTTAAATGCTCACTTTAAATACTATAAAAAGCACTGCGACACTGTGTGTATCAGGGATCCTTATTCTTCCTCTTGTATTCACAATGTGAATTGGCAGAAATGTCAGCATTAGAACAATGCAAGGTCAATATGAGTCATGGGGAGGATACTGTATTTCAGAACTGGCTTTTTTATAAAGCATCTACTCTAACTCCTCATCTGGTTTGTGAGTCACTGCTAAAAACAGCTGCAAGTGGACACACTTGTGTTTGCAGCCACATTCAGTGACAACAGAAGTGTCCTCAGCAGCACAGTTTTTGGAAGTCCTGCATTTATTTATCTGGATATTGAATATTTCATTAGGAAACAGGAATCCAGTATGTTTCACACACTTTTATAATGCTGAGATAACTATATACATGAAGGTCACTATCTTTCCTATATACTTTTCTATCAACAGCAGAAAACAGATGGACAGATAGATTGCAGAGCAAGCCAGAAGAATGGCTTGTACTAGCACCCTCGTGAACCAAGGCCCATCTCACCCTGCTCTAACTTCCAACTGACCATATAGGCACATTTTAACAAGGTATAATAGAACATCAACATACCCAAAATGACTCTCTGAGTTACCAGAATGTCTGTGCTCTTGGGAGGGACAACTTCTGAGAAGGGTGGCCAAATGTCCATCAGGTCGGAGGGCAAGGTGGTGAGCTTATTGCTGGAGATATCCAGGTAGGTGAGGTTCCTCAAGTACCTGCCAGCCTCGGCTGGAATGCTGGTCATCTTATTGTTATGCAAATCGAGAGTCCTCAAGTTGGGCATCTCTGTCAGAGACTCCCAAGGGAAAGTTGAAATCAGATTACCATCCAGCCGGAGCTCATGCAGTTGTTTCAGGTTGTAGAAGCTGCTGATATCAATATTGGCTACACAGTTGTAAGTCACCCACAGGTATCTGAGGTCTACTAGATAGTAAAAGGCTTCAGTGGGAATCCTTCGTATGACAGTTTTTTCTACACGAAGTTTCACAGTATCCACAGGAACGTTAACAGGGATCTCAAACATGTCAGGATCATTACAGAGCACAGACCTAGCACCAAAAAGAAAGAGAGAGATCTGCATTTCTTTATCAGAAAGTTGTCTTTCAGATTTAAGTGCCATTATCTTCTACAAAATTAACGTCAGAATAAAAAAAAAATAAAATAAAAAACAGAATTTAAAAAGAATGTGAATTCTCTAAAGAAAAAGTGAATATAAATAGCAGTATTTCTATGTGAAGTTTAGATTTGCTTTATTCCAAAGCACACAAGCACCACCCTTCCATCTAATGTTATATAGTCAACCGAAAAGGAAAAGTCATTGTATAGGGAATCACACATTTATGTTCTCAAACGGGAGCTGTGTGACCTTCTGTTATAATGAAGAATATTGGATACTACTCTCTAGTTTTCTGTCATGACGAAGATTCAAAGCATTTATATATCTTTATTTACTTCTCAGAACAGACTGTAAATTGAAAACACCGGCATGTTTCTCAAAAGAAAAGATTGCTACCGCTATTTCTGGTGTCTAAGCAGGAACAATCTGCCTTGTAGAGATTCTATGTAACTTCCTGTTCCTATTGATTTCAGTGAAACGAGATTCCTCTGCATTCTCAGGAATCAGGAAGTTTCCCTTCCCTTTGGATGGACAGTTTGCATGCATTAGTTTAGGGTCCCCTCCTATCTAGAAACTTAGCTTTAATTTACTCCATTTTTTCCTCTAAATTCTTCAGTTTTGTTTTCTCCTCCTGTCATTTTATACTAGATATGCTGTGACAAGTAACTGAAACAGTATCTCTCAAAATTGACACAATAACATCCAATTAACCTAATTTTTATTACCAAAAAGTATGATTTCCCTGTGAATACAGGAAAGAAGATACTACTGTATTTATTTAAACCAGAATCATTTTACAGTAGATAAATAGTTTGAGGAAACAGAAAGATCATTACAGTAGTAGGAAAAGCAAGGGTCAGAAATTGCCTTCTACAGGTAGGCTGAAGATTTAAAGTAGCTATTGTTAAGCACAAAGTCATTAAAATAAAACAAAGACCATCTGCTGTGATTCAGGAACACTGCTAGCTACGTAATACTAACATAAATTATGCTATTATTTCAAAGTAACCATGATAAACTGTAATTTGCAGCATATGTGAGGATGTTATTTCCAGTTTCCTCACTCCTTTTTTCTCTAAACCAAGCAGTATAAGAATTAATGAAACACATACCTTGTTCCAGTGCCATCACTTCTGCCATGGTAAACACAAGTGCATTGCGAAGGACAAAAACCCTGCGCTTCAGCAGAAACGCTCAGTATGAGGTATATGTAAAAAAGCAGAGGCATGGCTTCCTCCCAGCACAACTGACACCAAAAAAACTGAAGACTTTATTCATACACATGCGTGTGCAGCATGCTACGAATGCAAACGCAGACATCCATTTAGTAACAGCAGATTACCTCAGATTAGCTGAGATCTTGAGTTGCTTAACCTTCAAATGTGTCCTGAAAGGGATCTGTTAAACCAGCTCATTCTTCACCATGTCACAACACCACACTGTGTCAAGTTCTACACAACGTGCTTCCAGGCTATTTTAATACGCACTTGCTGTATGGTCAGTATGTAGTAAAACATGTATTTGCTTCTTCTGAGGGGCAGTGCATGATTTACTGTCCATGCAATGTTCCAAGATTCCATAAAGAAAGCAACTACAGCAAGAAGACATTGTATGGCATTTACTTTATTACTGAAAAGTACAAATTAATAGGAAGCACAGACTCTAGAACTTTCAAAAAAACCTGTAAAGACAGGTTTTTACCAATAACACACAAATTTTAAACAACAGCTCCACACTGCAAAGCCACGCTTTGGATGAACGCATGTACAATAAAATCAAAATAAAATGGAAGAAATGAACCAACTGTTGGTGCAAATTGTACTCAAAATACTGTTACATTAAATTAAATTAAAACATGGGCAGACTTAAAATATACTTTCTAAAGTGTTTCTTTCCCACAATTCTGGGGGAACTTAAAAAAAAAAAAAAAAAAAATACATCACACATTCCACACAAATTAATAAAATCAACATTTAGCTTTCCCAGATGACTGCATCACTTAAAGAGGTACTCTGTCAGACCAACACTAGAGACCCTAGGAGAAAAAAGAAACCAAGTGACAGAGTAACTGTACCTACACAGTCACAGTGGCTGAGACATGTCTGAAAGATCACTAAGACTTCGGATTGGAAATAAAAAGATATTTATTTTCAAAATCTGGAGAATCATCAAGAATGTGTACTACCATCCATCAGTAGCTCTATCTGCAGCCACCCCCTCCAACACAAATAAATCCATTGCTGACATTGTCAAAATTCTTCTTCAAAAATTACACAATGGATGTCCATGAGATTGACTTAGAAATAATGAGAAATCATCTTTACTGTTTTATGAGCCACCTGAGAGTCAACCTTCAGGGAGCATTTTGTCCCACCATCAGGATTTGCTGTGCAGGGGCAAGCACTAGAAATGTACCATTGCTAAAACAAAAGCTGTCCATTCCACAGATTGATTTGATTCTGTGAGCCAAAACTTCAAAAATACATGAAATATCATGAAAATCTTTCAAAATCCTAAAAGCTGATAACAAGCTATATGGAGTTTAGCTAGATATTCTGATAACCTTACCATATTCATGGAAGCAAAACAAATGTCAGTACAGACGCATGATATTGAATACACACATACAGGGAAAATCCAGGTCTGGAAACTTTTAATTGAAATTGAGAGAAAGTCATTTGCAAGAGGAATTAAAGGTGCTATATCTGTTACTGAACCTAAGCACTTCCTACTTCAGTCTCTTCCTGCCCTGATGTCACCTTGTCCAACCCCACAAGTCACATGGGACACTTCAATGGCCTTTTTTGCTTGCGCCAGAAATATCAATCCAATAAGCCTCATTCTTGAAAACTGAAGTTGCAGTGCTTGTTTTTGTTATTTTTTTTTCTCTTTAACCTAAAAAATACTTCAGCGATTAACAGGAAACAATTGACTGGAAGAGGCAGATTGTTATTCCAAAAAATAAACTAACTGTAACCAGATTTAATTTGTTTCCACAAAATCTATGCAGAAAAAGTAAACCAGTTCTAGGACGTCAGTGCACTTTGAGAAACACTCATGGGCAAGGCACTGTTTATAGTTATTTCTTGTCTCGTCTGACATCGCACCATTGCCAGGATTGCTCTCCGAAACCTGCAAAGGACAAGAAAGTGAAAGCAGAAATATCATTAGCTGGAGAACCACATACAAACACAATCTGGGTAAGCTCTTTTAAGTATTACAACTGCTTTCAACTTTAGTAAAAGTTGCTTAGTAAAAAAATTGCATGTCTGGAATTCAAAAGGACCTGAATCTCTTACATTTCCATGTAGAGGAATAACTCAATCAAATGTTTCTCCCACAACAAGAGTCTCAGCAGCTTCTGGTAATGGAAGACTGGATGTGTAGCTATGACAAAAGCAAAGTTTGGAGAACGGGGTGAAAAGGTGATGGACTTCCATGGACTCAGCAGGATCAGGGCAAACAAGCCAGACAGAGATCACAGCCTCTTTGTAGCTTGGTAGTAAAGCAAGGAAGGATTCCTGTTTGCAAAATCCAATTCCCACTCAGAGGCAATGGGTTGGCTAGGGCATTTTATATGCTTCCTCAACATAGAAGAATAGGCTTAACTAACTTACTTTAGTGGAAAGTGTAACTCCCTCCTAATCAATCACAATATGGAACATCTCAACCAAGCAAGGAATTCCAAAGTTACACTTCACTAAGATGATGTGTAAGACATCTTGGCCACAGTCACCAAAACTAGTATGCTGCTGATGAACTCAAATTCCACAATAAGTCCCTCTGAGAAATGACAAAAGGCTTCTCAAAGTGAACTTACACAATCTTCACTAATTTGCTTTCAAAGATCTGTATCAATTTAACACATTCTGATGTTGATCAAAGCAATTTCGTTTAGATTTTGCTGCCCATAACGTTATCTTTGGTAAACCCAGTACAGTTTACCCCCCAGTCTCCTCACAATTCAGTTTCTCCTAATCTACAGTTGATCATTATGTAGACAGTACCGAAGAACACTTACTTTTTGTTTGCAATTACATAAATGCAGGGATTATAGAATGTGGAGGATTTTGCAAACAAAGGAGCTATGATGGCCATTGCAGGAGAAATTTTCTTCGGATCTCCAAAGGAAGACCATAAACACACAATGGAATAAGGAGACCATGCCACCAGGAACATTACAATCATCACAACAGACATCTGTAAAACAAGGGCAACACAAACATAACCTGAAGATTAACCTAAATCAAAGTACATACATCTGTGTGATAATAAGAGATATCCAGAACTAAATAATGACATGTAAATAAAAACATCTGATCATTCTCGATAACTTACAGCAAAATCTCATTTTCAGGATTTAATAATGCACCATACTGTATTTTGGCACACTGTTATTTTGTTACCATTTTCCTTTATGATTAGCACTAAGCATTATTTTAAATTCAATCATCAAAAATTTAAATGGCCATAGAAGATTTCACAAATGAATTATGGCCACTACCTCAAATCTTAAAAAAAAAAAAAATGCACTGCATATCAGCAAGTCTTCTCCAAAACATGCATTGGAGTATCTTTATTACTGTCTTTATTACCACACATATCTCCAACATCCACCAAACATGGCTGTAGGAAAATAAAATGCAATATTTAAAAATGATCAGGTACTAAATATCATTTTATATCGTAGAAAGTTACCAGCTTTTGTATAAATCACATTATTTTAAGCTTTTCCTAGCTACTTCCATTCTATGTCCAAGTGTAAACAACTTGGAATCTACTTTCTAGCGAAAATATTATAAACTGGGTAAAATGCTCTGTGAGAGCAACAGGCTTCCTTTCAAAAGAATCTTGAGATACACATCAAGAAAGAGTTCAGAATTTTTTTTTTTTTTTTTTTTTTTTTTTGCTATTCTGAAGAGAGTGGAAGGAATCCAGTGAAAACAGGTCACCTTGGGATGCTATTACAGACAATAAACATGAACAGAAAGAACAAGGAAATTCAGCATCTTGCAGATTAAATTCTTCTAGAAATTGATATTTCTCATTCATACCCAGGAGAAAACATTAAGCCACCAGCAGGCCAAACAGCAACAACTTGAGAGTAGTGGGAGGGCAGGAGCGGAATCAACTAGGACTGACTTTTCTGGCTTTTGTCTGGGATGTGAATCAGTAATAGAAACCAGAATGGAAGCTTCAAATTAATCAGGAAAAGCAAAACAAATCACCCCAAAACTAAATGAAACTGCTGGGCTCTTGGAATGCTCTTTCTCTAGTGTACGGTTCTCTAGTGTTGTTCACCTATGCCCATATTCTGTCCTGTTTCTCATTTTGGCTCTCACTGGAAATTATCAACAAATCTGTGAGGGCTGTTTCAGAGCACAACCAAGCAAACTGCACCCTGTCCACAGAAGGTTTCTATTCAATACTAACACGATGTCTGTAAGAGAATAATTTCATAACAGTGATTCTTACATAAAAGAATACTTCTGTTTAGAAGTCTTCAATGCACAGAAAGCTTAAAAGATGCCAAACTGTGGAAAAATTTAAAAGAAAAAATAAAAAAAATCAAGTAACCCATTTTAAAGGATTATGCTTAACCACAAGTCTTCATTTTTTATTTTTATTTTTTAAATACAACTCATAGTCAATTGTGAAATATGAAAAACATACAAACCTGAGTCTAAAGCCATAAAGCCATAACTGAATCTTCAGTTTAAAGCATTCTGAATTATTCAGAAACATAAACTGCTCATAATTAAGGGTTGGGGTTTTCAGCAATGAGAACATTCTCCAAGGAATGTTAAGCTTGCGTTGATAACTAATTCAAATATGCATTCTTTTCAGTCTACTCCTAATTTCTGTATGTTTTCTTCTTGTGCCCAACCATAAACCATATCTTCATCCAAAATCAGAGGAGCCAGTGCACTTAAAGCTTCCTCAAGGACTCTTGTATGTTAACAGAATGTGAATTTTTCAAGCAGGATGTATCATTCTATGCCATAATTCACATTTCCTATTGTTTACCTAAGAAAAAAATAAGCTGAATAGACTAAAAAAAAAAAAAAAAAAAAAAAAAAGGAAAAAAAATACAAGGGATCAGAAGAAGCAAACAGTTTGGGAGCTTGAAAACGCACTTTCATTTACAGTCCATGAGAGCAAAACAGAGCTAATGACTAATTCATTTCTGACCAGTTGCACTAGTGAACCTGGCAGAGCACTTAAAGACTCTGCTGACACAAAGAGTAAAAGTGTCTTAGACAATCCTCCTAGGCCACTGATGAGGTATGTTTCTATACAATGACAGAGGGCAGAAACAAGAGCATAGTTCCCAGGCTTCAAAACAGCTGTTTGTCTGGAAAGAATAAAGAATCTAGTGATGCTAGTCAAGTCTAGAGATTTCACTAAGGGTAAATTTCAGTTAATATTTAGTAAGAAAGAAGGAAAAAGGCAATGCAGGAAATAGAAAAGCTTGAGTGGCTGTATTGTTCCTCCATTCTCAAAACTAACCCAAAAGAACATGCTTAAAATGAAACATACCCTCATTTACCATACCTTTGTTACATCTACTTGGTCAGACCAATCCATGCTGATGCTCTCCAGGCAGTTACTGCTGGTATATTGTTTCATTGTCCGGGAAACATTGTAATAACAGTAAAACATGACTGTTAAGGGTACAACAAAATTAACAGCAATTACACTCATTGTGTAGGAAACAAAGGACCTGATAAGACAGAAAACAAAACACAGTAACTTAGAAATATCCATCCATGAAGAGTTACTGAAGAATTTGACTATGAAATCTGAAATAAAATTCTAGAGAATTAGAAAAAAAATATTCAGTCTTTAGTTTTTATTAATATGTGCAGGGTTGTTATTGTTTTTTTTTTTTTTTTTTTTTTTTTAAATGAACAGTTTTCAAGCATTGCACATTTTCTACATTTTATCTAGACTTGCCCTAGAAAATATAAATATATATATATATATATATATATATATAAAATAAATTATCTTTGTATGTTAGGCTTCATACTTCAAGAATTTATTGTCATTCTGTGGTAAATTAAATAATCTAAACCTTCAATAAGAGAACAAATTAAAAGAAAAGGTGAAGTGAAATCTTACATATCATTTTTCCTCCAATTGACTGTGCAAGTTGCTCCAGTTGGATCTGGAGCGTAGCCAGCCCAGCCTACAGTAGGCATAGACGCCCAAAAGACTGCATTGATCCATGCAGCCAGGATTAGAGCAGCATAGTTACGTGTAGTCATTCTTCTTCCTGTGACAAAACACGTATATTCACAAATTGTTGCCTTTTTTTCTTGTTTCCAGTATTGAATTTTAACCACAAGTAGGTGAGAGCAAACCTACGTGGCATTAATAACGATCCTCTCAGAGAACTACACTCCCAAACACTGCAGCATACATGCTTCCTATCACTGAAATACATCTAAGCTTTCCAGACTTAAATTAATTCCATCATCCACTTCGACTCACAGCATACAGACAAGATCTGACCCTGATGCAATGCCAAAAGGCCTACTATGCACATAGAAAGAAAGAAAAAACAAAGAGGAATTGACTGTTCCAGTACAGCTGTAATAAAGAAGAGTGAAAAATATTCAATACAGTGCTGACTCGAATGCTGGAAGCAAATGCAGAATTGACAGAGGTCAAAATCTCTCACAGCTGAGGCATTCTGTGCACTTCAATATATGGATGTGACCTTCTAATGACTGGAAACTGCCAGGAAAATACGACTTACAAAGCAAGTAGCAGTTTACCTCTAAAATTCTCATGTTCACAAGCAGTACCATCCATGCAAACTGTATTGCTCGTCATGTACTGCAGTACCACATTCTATGCTTTAATTACACCTAGCTCTTTAATTAAGGGGTCATTCACAAGAAAACAATACAATTGGACACTTAGTTCATAGAAGCCTAACAGTGAAGGATGTTTGACAAAACAGTACCTATGTCAGGCCTGCAGATCGTCAGGTAACGGTCAACTGCAACAACAGTGAGCAAACCAATACTCGCCATCCCAAAAAATATATTTAAGGCAGCATAGATCTGAAATTATAAAAAACAGATAACATGGCCTTTCTGAGAAATCTTTCAAATGCATGAGGAAAAATGTGCATTATTAATCTAAGGCAGTGTGGTACCTTCTAATCAGTGTTTTCTTGCGTAAGCAAGATGCTGCATGAACTGATTCAGTGCAGGCAATTTGTCAATGGTTCATTTAAAATAAACATTTCAAAAGCAATCTGCCAATTTGTACACCAGAATCCCTAAGGAAGACAGTCTAACACTACTTATATGCCAATAAGTAAAATTAAGATTCCGAGGCGAAGACTGGGAGGGGTTTTTCAAGTCATACTTTCAAAATACATTAAAGAGTCCCAAAGAACATTTGATTCATCATTAAAAGATTAGAACCATGTAAGGCTTTAGCAAATCTGAGGTTCTGAATCATCACTCTTCCTTCTGCTACGTATTTTTTCACTGATATGGTACACTGATTTTCTCCATTGGTCCCCATTTTTACTTGGTGTTGGATCTGACAAGGCGTGGTGATAGTACTTATACACATGATGCAGTGCCAGCACACTCTAAAAGCACCTGTGCCGTCATGCCATAGGCAGCCTGACTGGGAAGGATGAGTAGAAGGGTTGTGTTATCATTGGCACCCCCAAAATTCAGAGCCCCGTACCAGACCACATGCCACCCACAGCTACAACAGAGGCACATGACATTCATCTGTCTCAGTTGACAGGATTTGTTTGGTTTGCATTGACATGAGTTGCATTTGAAATTATCTCAGGAACTCCCAAGCTACTGGTAATGAGATTTCACATCAAATTCAACCTATACTAAGTCAATCTAGATGCAAAGATATAAAAAATGAAGCATTCAGCCAAAGAATGACAAGAACATTGAGTTTGAAATAATTGCGCACTCAGGCAAGTGATGCCAGATTATAAATACCCATGATATATAAGCCCAAAATATACATTGGGGTTAACATTCTTCTTGAGCCACATTTCCGGCACACAATTTCACATTACTGTTCATTTTCCTGAGAGCTAAGCCTAGTGGTTTATCTAAGAGTTAAAAATAATAATAATAATAATAATAATCACAGAACATCACAGTGAGTAAAGAGCATCTCGTCTGCTACAGAAGTATAATTTGTTAAGTCATTCTTAAATTTTAAAGATAGGCAGCTATTTAAACTAAGCCAAAATTTTTAATAGTGCCCTTTAATAGTCTCACAGACCTTCTCTTTGGATATCCTTTGTTCTATCCTAAGGAAGATGTATTCATTAGGCAAAACTCATTAAAAGTTTGTCAAGCTCATCATGAAAACAGCAGTCATATCCAAAGTCTGTTTACTACTAAACGACTCATCAGACAAGCATGTGCTACTGCTATAACTTCCTTCATTTGGAGATTTCCTTTCCTAAGACTTTGCTTCTTAAAGCTAATATAAAATTTTCGGTTGATAAACATAAGGTCACATTTGAATGAATTCTAACTTGCAATTTAAAGTTTGGAAAAGGACTCAAAACAGAATCTACATGCAGAAATTAAGGCCTTTACAGAACATAAGCTCCAAGTCTGGAGTCAAATTTTGCATTGCCATCTTTTCTCTTAGGAGAGCCAATATCAATTAGAGTTACTACTTGCTGTTTATCTTGCACTTAGGTGCTCAAAATTTTCTCCCTGCCTAAATTGCAATACCTGGCATCCAGTATATCCAAACTTCCAGCTTCCGTGCAGGTCTGAAGCAGCAGACATGGGGTAGCCAATGCCACTAACACCAATGTCAGTGAAAGCCAGGTTGATAATAATTGCATTGGTTGCTGTCCGAAGCTCTTTGTACTTCACAAAGATGCCTAACACAACAATGTTACTGAAAATGCTTATCACTCCTGTGGAAACAGAAAATAAAAACTGTACAAAAAGTTGTAGATGAGATAGTAATACCTATGCAAAAGAATACACAGCCTATTTTAATATTTAAGCCCTAAACAAGAATTATATTTCAATCAAGCATGATTTTGCAAATAGAAAACACCTGAAAAAAAAAAAAAAACTTTTGTAATTAGATTCATCTTACTTGGATTCAGTAAAGGCCAAAAGTGGGGTGTTTCATCAAACCTAGGACTTCCTGTACAGTGGCGATAGGCAGAGCAGACATCCAAAAGCATAGAGAATTGCAATTTAGATACTTCAGCCACAGAGTACAAGGCTGTTTTCCATGGCCAAAAAGAATGCAGGCTGATGACTAGCAAAAAAGCAGCGCTTTTACATTGATTTACTTAATGTAGTAGAAAGTCTCTACCACAACCCGAGTTCTTCATTTCTGAAAGGAAGTTTCCACTGTATATTTAAGTACTATTCCCAGGCAAAAGGATATAAAACAAGAGCAACTAGGCATTGTCTTTTCTACCTCCATGCCAGCCGGTTACAAATCTCTACTTGCAAGGCCTGAATTCTCTGCAAGCATCATTTCTGGCTCACATTAATGGCATGCTGGCCTCACAAAAGCTGTTTTCTTTATCTGACAAGCTCCAGTCAGTAACATATCAAAAAAGTCCAGCTGTGTACTGATTTTGCTCCTACCTCACAAACCAGAGTAATTGTGGTTCTTTTAGGGAGGGAATGTCTCCTACCCTGTTTCTTTTCTCTGGCACAGGATTTTTGTCTGCTTTCTTTGCAGAAATAGGACTCCAGGGCTCAATCTCCCTGTGTCCCAGAAGCTTAAACACAGGCATCCCCAAATCCCCAACATGACAAGTGCTTTTACATTTAATTCTTCAGAAATATACAACAGAGGTGGCACCAAAGGTGTTCAGACTCTGCCCAAGGACTGAGGCAACACCAGAAGTGGTGAGTTGTAATAGAGGAAAAAAATAGACTCATGACTAAAGCTAGCATGCACACTCTCCTGTCTTCACATCCAATGACTTCAGAGTTTTCTTGCAGCTTCACAGTGCTCTCCAAGTGGTGCAGGACACTGCTCCTTAAGACCCTCTGTATCAGCAAGCTTTGTACAACCATGTGTACTGGTACATATATTAAAACCTCTACATCCTCATTTTTCTTGCTCTTCCTTCCTCTGAGCCAAACCCTACTGCATGGCACTTACAATGAATTTACATAGCAATCCCACAAAATAGGTTCTTTTTATTCTTCTGGTTTTATTCTCTTCAAACTCAGAAATACTCAGAGCAAACTACCATCATCTAGATTTCTACTACCCCACTATTAGTTACTTAGTTACAGGCACAAGAGCTAATAAAGTTAAAATACCAGTGTATAGTCAATGAATATAAAGACGTTATAATTATGAAATAAGCAAGAGAGTTTGGCACAGCAGATTACAATAACGAAAAGAAAACAGATAGAAAGCTTACCCACATCCAGGGCTCACTGCAAAACTCCAGAGGAGGGATCTCCAGAAGAGATCCTTTCCCACTGGTAGCCAGCTCTTAAATGGGTCCAGGAGAGGTGCAGCCAAGCTCCACCCCTTCTGACAGCACAGGTGAATTGCCTTCAGCTGTGCTCCCATGGCTGACTCATTGCTCACCTCAGATGATCAATCAGACCATGATTCAGCAGTTCCCCTACAACCAGTTTGCACCTTACCTGAGAAAGCATCACAGCCCTTTATCAGCAAAATGGAGAATTGCAACATTCAAGAAAACACAGCCATTATAAATTTAAAAATACAATAAATAAAAAATATAAACCAACTCTGTAAGTAGTAACAGGAATTAGTAAGCTGCTTATTAATTCCCTTGTCTCATACAGTTGTTACAATACCACTGACCCAACTGCTAAACTTACAGACATCTGTACAATTTGAGCACCTTAGATTACAAGCACAGTGGAATGTTACGTTGGTAAAAGCTGAACAGTGCAATATCCATGGAAATGCCCTTCAGAGTTTATTTATTTATTTATTTTTTTCCTGTTAAAACACTTCACCTATGAACCAGAACACTGTGATTTACATCATTACAGTACTGTATGGACAATTCTATAAAGAACTTTGGTGAATAGGTGTTGTGGTGAAAACAGAGCAAGAAAGTCTGAAATAATACATCGGGCTCTATACAGGATATTAACTTCACATCCTTAATACCATGGTCACAAGGCCCAGCAGATACAAACAAGTACAGATAATAAGGCTCAATGGAAACCAAGCAACAAGCAATCCAGCACAGTGAAATCCATCTTTTGCCTTCAGGAGTGAAATAAGGTCTGCAGAAAAGACTTCATTAATTCTCAGTTATTTCTCTTTTCTATTCTCTTTTCAAAAGACCAAGCATGTCTTTCCTCAGGTAGGCACAGTACATAAGAATAACATTAAATGTGATGTTGGAAGTTACAACCACTCATCTATGACATTTCACACACTTTAGGAACAATGCTGTGATGCCTTGAGCCCCTAAAATAAACAAAAGAGGGAAGCTGGTGATCAGATGTGAAGTGAGCAAAAAGAAGCAGCTTCCATGCCAGCCTACTCAGCCCCATTGGTAAGTAGTACATTGGAGAGGAAGACTGTCAGTCACAGGTTTCTAAAACCTTATAGGCTTCTTATGAGATATGCTTTATGTCCAACCTGTAATCTTTTAAAGAAAAATTTATTCTCTGAGACAGTGGTCAGGCATGTAAACAGGCTGCCCAGGGAGGTGATGGAGTCATAGTCCCTGGAGGTGTTCAAGAAACATTTAGATGTTGTGTTGAGGGATGTGGCTTAGCAGGTGTAGTATTGGTTGTAGGTGGACAGTTGGACTGGATGATCTTGGAGATCTTTTCCAACCTTGGTGATTCTATGATTTTACAGTTACCTAGAATGAAGTAAGAAATACAAGAGAACTGTAAACTCCTACCTTCAGGGCAAAGGAAGGATCCTGCTAGACACATATTTAGTGCCCAAACTTAACAATAATAAAGTAAAAAAAAAAAAAAAAGAAAAGAAAAAGAAGAAAGAAAGCACTGAAAGTGCCAAGCCTATACTGATCAAAGATTTCAGAAGTACGAGAACAAATTAATAATAGAGACCAAAAAACATTCTGGAGAGTAACATGCAAGAAAAAAGATGGATTAATCGTGAACAAAGAAGGAAAAAAATATATAGACTCAATAAATAGGTATTCTCAGAAAGAGAGAATTTATAAGGCAAACAGAAAAGCGAAGTTTCTCCAGGAACCAGTTAACCAGACCTCGTTTCTTAGAGGGTAGATAATGTAGACTGGGCCAAAGACTTCGGTAACCTCATATCATCAGCTAGGACAAGCTCATCTGATTCAGAAAAAGCACATGGATGCTGCCAGTTGGTCTGTGAAATAGCTTAGACTTCGATAACTATTCCCACATTTTTCACTACACCTTGTGATTTTGACAATATGAGGATAAAAGGCTCTTATATGACATGGTCAAGAACAAAAACATTTATTATTTTTCCTTTTCCCAGAGAAATAGCAAAAACTAAGGGTTGATGGAATGCAAGCAAGCCCTAACAGAGAAAATCAGGACACACGAGTAGTGGCATCAAAAACAGAGAAGGAGAAGGTTAGGTCCATGCATTACATGGAATTTACTTTTCCAGTCAGCAATTTAAAATTACCCCAGAGCACTTCACTACTACAAGGTGAAGGACAACCATAGAGCTTCTTCCTGCAGTCTGAGTTGGGGACCACTGTCATCACTGAAATTAATGTTGAGCCACTGTAGACTGCAATAGTTAATAATGGCTTCCTTCCTCAGAAAACAAAGCAATTATTTACGAAAGAAGAAAGCATTCAATCCTTCTAAAAAGGAACAGAATGTTGAACACTGTATCTGACCTACATTGCATTTCCTAGATATCTGCTTATTAACATACACTAAATCTTCTTGATGTTGCTATTTGGTGCAGTAAACAACCATAGTTTGAACCATTCTATAGACCTTACTATCAAAAACTTTACTAAGAAAGCAAAGTCCAACATACAGCTGACAGATTTTTACTGGACTCTCCCATTCTGAGAAGAAGCTGAATTGATTCTGGATAATACATGATAGCTTTGATTCTTAACATCAGTGCTCAAACTGTCTGAAAATACCAACCAGTTACATACAGCTTAAACCATCAATCAGAATATAACAAAGCATTGCACATATCAGCAGCACCTAGTAGATGAAGTTACTTGCAAACGACGTGGTGGTACTGCAGAGTTGATTTGGTCTTCCAGTACTTCACCATCATCCAGCCCTACAGCTGCTCAACAGGCCCACATACCTATGTGTATTCTAACAATTTCAGTAAAAATCTGAAATTAACTATTGCCTTTGCACTCATGTTGATGCAAAATGTCCTCTATATCAGTGATTTGATATTCCCCACTTCAGACATACGTGCTAAATAAAATGACTATTTCATATCTCTAAGTAAACATTTTGAAGTATTTGAAAAGCTAATAATAACGTAGAAAATGTATGGTATAAGCTAGGAATAACGTATTTATAAATTCATCTTATTTTCCACACCAAAAATATAGAAGGCATGTTTCTAAACACAGCAGGTTTCAGTATTTGGACAAGATTAACATCCATTTCCATTTCCATTGCTACAGCAGTCAATGCTTCAGAAAAACATTTCTGCAACACTTACAGTTACAATAATGAGAAATTTAAAAAAGCAAACAAACAAAAAAAACCCACAACAAAACCTATATCATTCAAGTTAAGCCAAAGACCATTGCAGTCACAGAAAGCACATGTCAAGCCTTGCAGCATGCTTTTTCTAACACGGGTCATCAGTGAAAAATACATCTGCAAGTGGAGTCTGCTCTTCTCTGATAAATGACCAGCTCCTCCCTCCTCCTCGGTCACATTCCAACCCTTCCCCTTACATCCCCCTATCAGACACCCTCTCACATGCTCAGACTACACATATATTACTGTGAACATGTGGCCCAAAAGAAATCTCAAGATAGCTTCAAGCACATCACAGAAAAATGCAAGATGTGACAGCTATGCCCTATTTTTATCTCTTCTGCAAGCTGGCGGAAATTAATTCTTACTCTCTTCTATAATTACATATCAACAAAATGTATTTTTTAACTCATAGCACTGCCTTCAAATATAGAGCAGAGAGCAGATGTAGGTTTCTGCACACTTCAGTCTGATTGTTGACTTGTCGGTAAACTCTGGAGAAAAGCCATTGGTCACTTGTAAGTCAGAATGAAACACATTGCTGTTACTATACAAAATAAGCATTCAATCTACAGTTCTGCTATAAAAAGTTATGCAACAGTTGATCAATGCCCATACCTGCTGTTATTAAGTAAGCTGCTACTATGTTGTGCTCAGTCTGTGTAAAGGCAGAATGAGCTTCAGCATCACTTTCTGAGGAGTTGGCTGAATTATTCCAATGCATTTTGGACACACAAGACTGTCGTCTATATCTTGCAGTAATTCATCTAGAGGACAAAACACTACCAAACCCTGTCAGAAAAATTCTTTCATTATCCAGCAGACTGAACAACTGGAAAAAAAAAAAAAAGGCAGGGGAGGGTTGCCTCACCATCAGTGCTGACAGCTTCCAAGCATGATCTAATTGGACAGGGCGCAAAGAAGTTTATATCCCCAATCTATGCAGGAGAAAAGCTTGTTAACTGAAACAAAGAGCAACACAGAACCAAGAACATTTCCAACAGGATGTTCAAACTTTATTCTTACTGCTAAAGAGATTAACAGTCACATGCCCCCAAACTTTTTTTACTTCAAATCTCTTGTGCAACGCCTGAGAAACCTCAGGAGAAAATTGACTCTGGTTAGTTGGCCTTCAGCCTGGTTTGGAATTACTTCCTACCATCGCAGAAAACACAACCACAGCACAAACACAAATGTCGGTTTCATTAAAATACCTTGATTGTATCCACCCCCTTCAAACCTTTAAATACTTCCTTTTCCTCTTCAAGATTCTTACTTTAATTGAAACACTCAAACCAATGGCAGACACAACAACCTAATCCAGTATTTCCTGAAGTGAAGCTTGACATTCAGAAAATTGTCACATCTCTAAAATCTCCTGGTCTGCAGAAAATGGGTGTTGAACATGCCATAAAGTCTGAACAATCTCCTTCTCTCAGACTTACTCAGGTAGGCTTGGGCAAGTTTTCTTAAACAGAAAATTATTGAGCATTTTTCAAAGGTGATATAGCTTTTGTTTCTTTGGTTATGAGGTAGCAGCATGCTAGAGGGAGATCACAAAGGCCCTTTACAAAATCCTGTGTAAATACGAACTGCAACAAACCTTTGCCCAAAGAGTTTACATGCAGCATCAACACAATCAAAGGCCTTTACCACTGTTTCCCCTTCAAACAATTTGTACCCATACTATATATAAAAGCAATATAAAAATTCTTCTTGCAGCTCACAGGCAGCTCAGACCATGTGTGCGAGCAGCAGGAAGGATTTACTGCCCCAAACAACACTGAGGAACAAAGCCATCCCATAGGAAGGTCATTTACCCGAAGAGCTACTCTCTTCTCTAACCCATGAAACGCTCACAGAGCTTTCCCCATCCAATCTCAGCTTTTTAAAATAGACATCCTCTACTTTTCATCCATTTCAATCTATAGTTGAGTAAATTTTGGTATAAAACTTATGCAGTCATGACAATTAGTCATCACTGTTACAGATCACGTATCACAACACTACCAGCAAACATTTTACTAGCATAGAACTACACTCACTTTTAGCTTGCAGGGCACTTGTATCAATGAGGCATTTTCCCTGTCAGAAGAGGTGGGAGGGATTTGAAAGGGAAAATGATCTGTTCAGTGATGAATCTACTTTCCTAGTATTTAATCAGTCCATCTTGAAAGATAAAAGCATAATGATAATTTGATATCTTTACTTACTTCCCCTGAAACCTTGGCAATATTTTCATAAGCATCTCCAATCATGCATCTTGCATAGAAGTCAGAGCTTGCAATGCTTACTGCCTTGGTTAAGATTGCCACCCCACCAGCTCAGCTGCCCAGGGCCCCATTGCCAGTACCTCACTGCCCTCTGAGTAAAGAATTTCTTCCTAACACCTAAACTAAATCTTCCCTCTTATATTTAAAGTCATTCCCCCTTGTCCTATCACTATTGGACCAAGAAAGAAGTTGCTCCCCCTCTTGCTTTTAAGCTCCCTACAAGTTCAGGAAGGTTGTAATGAGGTCTCCCCAGAGCCTTTTCCTCTGCAATCTAAACACCCCCAGCTCCTACAACTTAAGTAATCTAGGCACATTTCCAAAAAAAGTACTTCTTTTTTCTTCTCCCCTAGAAAACTGCAGTTTACAAAACAAAGTCAAAATATAAAGCAATTAATTCACTATTAAGATATAACAAATGCCCTTGAATTATGGAGTTTTTCCTTTTGACTTGGCTCTGATCAGTACAAAAATAGTGTAGTTTATATTCGAGTCAATCCTTCAATTTTTAGGTGTCTATACAGATATGGGGCAACACAAGATTTATTACCTGGTTTAGCAAGTTGTAAATGTTATATTTATATGTAAAATATTTTTAAAAATATTGCAATCCACACATGGTAGAAGTAGAAATACTGCTTGCCTTTTTTTTTAAAAAAAATCTTCCCACATTCATTAAAGTGCATCAACACTAGAGGGCTGTACAGGGCAGTACTTCCCTTTAATCTTAACTCCACAAACATTTAAATGGTTCAAAACCAAAGGCAGACAAATTAATAAATTATTAATTTCTCACACACCCAGTCTCTAGATTTAAACTGTTATTTAAAAAAGTTTGATTCTGTAAAGAGACCTCCAGGTGACTAACAAGATGCCCTGATAAGGGGCCTCCAAATCATTGCCCTGTTTCACATACTAACCTTCATTTTCTCAATATACCATTTATTGCCAAGACGTCGCTTTGCCAAACTGAAAGTAACTGCACCAGTACAAAAGTGCAAGGCTTTTGCCTTTCAGTGGCTTCAGACTTGAGTATGTCTCACGACTCCACCTGCTGTAACATTCAAATTATTCACTTCTTGTTCTAGGCTGCAAGATGGCATTTTGTCAGTTGCAATTGAAAGGTAACATCCAGATAGCCAGCCTTTTAATACCCTTTTTTTTTTTTTTGATACCCTTGGAGAAAGTGCATCTCTAAAGCATGCAGCAAGAACAGCAGCACGGAGCACAAATTTGGGTGTAAGAATGAGGATTGCATTATCCCAGTCTTCCAAAACCAGAAGAATAAAGAAAGATCTAAGTCAGCTATCCACAACTAGGCACAGAAGCATTGGTGAAGAATGCAACTATTGCAGAGAACGCATTTACAAACATGGTTTTGAAGCACTGGTGATACAGTTGCAATGTGGTATGACAGAGACAGCTTACAACGGCTACAATTCTACAGTATCTCAAGTGAGAGCCCTACCTCCGTAGACCTTGTAATACATAGTAACAAAAGACTAAATACTTTTAAAGGTCCATATTTAATTGATCTAATTAAAGTTAAATGGATAGTAACACCAGAAAATAACTGCTATTCCATAATTCCTGATGGTGTTGTGGTCGAATAGACTCGGTTTCTTCTCACAAAAGCAGATCTAATAGAAAATTGGATGTTTCTTCTAAACATTTTTTAACTGCTGTCCTATATAGAGCAGGTGTTCAGACTAGGCAACTGAGTTCTTGAAGTTTTCTTGCTAGCTTGCTCAACCTTTGTTTCAGAAATAATTCAGAAGTAAGAGTTGTGTGACTAGTAGTTTGTCCAGTTTTAGCACTGACAAATCACCTGTTTCTTTTGGTAAGCACAAACCTAATGGATCCAGCAATCATGGTCATTAAAAGTACAACAGCATGATCAGTTCAGAAATATATTTCCCACCCACGTCAAACATGATGCTCAGAATTTTCATGTCAATTAATCTAAAGATCTGTTCTCAAAAATGCTTGGTATGAGATCTGCCAATAGACTCCCTGCTCCTGATGAAATGAGACAGATTCTTTCCTATTCTTACTCAATTTCCAAAGTTGAATATAGATGACAAGGCGATTCTCTGTGCTTTAAGAGACACTAGCTTTTCAACAGCCCTCATAATAAATCCAATTTAAGAGACTGGAAATGTATTCATGCAGAATTTCCCACTTATTTTTAAAGCAACACTAAACTGAAAGGACCACATGCAGAGGAGCTCTATGATGGGTGTAATGCTGTGCTGTGATGAAAAGTACAACGGCAACAGCTGGGTAGCAAAGTTGTTGGCTACAGCAAATGAGGACAAGACCAAATGCAGCAGCCGTGGACAAAGAAACTAAGGAAAAAAGCCACTTACCTTTAGAAGGCCTCAGGGAGGCAGGTATCTCCACCAAGATACCCACACCTCCACTGCCAATCCTTAAATGAGGTTGGGGAAGGGGTGGATCCTGGCTCCACCCCTTCTGGCCTTTCTGCATGCACCTCAGCTCCCCTGGGTTGACCCTGCCTTCCCAGCAGGTGCTCAATCACTGGTTCAGGCCATAATTCAGCATTTCCACAACAATGAGTTATTTCATTTTAGCAAGCTCAGAGCACAACAGAGGTGATCTGCCAGGACATCAAAACCTCAAGAGAAACTGGCTAAGACGAAGAGGGGAGCAGTTAAAAACTCTTAGCAACTTTATTATCAGTGAAATTAGATACAATTAGGTGACCTATGAATAGAATTAACTCTGTATTACTCATCAGATAATATCTTCTAAGAGTGTATCTTTATGCCTTTGTTTTCATTAAGATTCAGAGAGAAAAATGTACAAAATATTATTTGCTATCTTCCTTTCCTCATATTTGTTTTTACGCATTAAAAAAGTTCTAACGACAAAAAAAAAACAGTCTGAAGTTTAGTTTGTAAAAAATGGTCCATAACAGTTATTTAAATCACATCTCCTTTTTAGGGTGACCCAAAAGACTCCATATAAAACAATGAGAACAAGGGATCTTATCCAAGTCACACAGAGGTTACAAGTTCATACTGACAGATGTGCATGCAGTGAACCCAAGGGGGCTTTTCTTAAAAAAAAAAAGTTCAGTTGATTGTTTACTCCAGACTCCAACATGAAGTCAAGCACTGACTAAGTCATTTGCCAGAAACAAACAATTTAAGAATAACATTGAACTCTGTCTTAGTTTAAAAAGTTCAAGTATGTTCTGAGCAGTCTTTCATTCTTCGCCAAGGGCTACACACTTTGTCCACGGTTGCTGACAGTTGTTAACTGTCATTTCATAGCTCCCAGTTCTTTACAAACAACTTCTTCATGGTCTTTTACAACTTTTTTTCTTGCTCTTCACTTCTGCAGGTAACGTGGTAAGTCAGCAGGAAGATTCTCATTGTTCCATTTTTAATGTCCTCTCCCTAGTTTAAGAGGGAAAAAGGTCACTTAATTCATTATCATAGATACTTAATTCAAATTATCTTAGATGCTGTTTCAGTAAATAAATTATAGATATAAAACTGCATGAATTGATAAAATAATTTATCATTGCTGTCTGTTCTTATAGTCCCTTTTCATGTAGAAACTAGCATGGTCTTTACAAAGCATCAAAAAACAGAAAACACTGAACTTTGGTTTAAACGAGTTAGTGTGAAGCACATCAAGTTTTTATATAAAACTATGAACACCCATACGAGAGGAAAAGAAAATACAGCATTCTGTTTAATACTTAAAAGTTTAGAAACAGAGCCATTCTTATTATGGAAAAAATACATCTGCACACTCACCTCTAAAACCTCCTCCACCACCTCTTCCTCCTCTGAATCCTCCTCCTCCTCTTCCTCCACCTCTAAATCCTCCTCCTCCTCTTCCTCCACCTCTTCCTCCTCCAAATCCTCCTGAATGTAGGAAACAAGTTACACTTTCTGGAGCATGTAGATTTTGTTATACATAACAACAGCTTTAATTGACAGTTAGGAAATCCAAACCAAATCAGAAAGAGCCAATTGCTTCATCCTAGTACCCTCTTTCTTCTGAGGACCATCTGCAGCATTTTAGGTGGTGCTGAATATCTAGTATCCAATGTCTAAAACACTAATGCATTAATAAAACTTCAAGATAATTTTTAGCTGTCATTAAAAATGTTAACCACAATTATTACATATGAAATCTTCAAAACAATAAAAGAAAAAACTTTACATACTTGTGCCTCCTTGCACACAAGGTGGCAGAGTGGTGAGAATTCTACTGTAACTGAGTACATCATAGACTGTGCTTAAAAAGTAAAGGATGAGATCTACTACATCAGTTACCGCCTCTCTCAAACATCGCATTTCAAGTATTTTGTCCAAACTACCTTTGGACAGAGTAAGAATACTGCTTTCATTGTTTTGAATGGATATTATCCTCTATCTTTTACCACAAAGTGGTTAACAGTTATGATTCCTGTCTTGGTTACAGATCAGCGTACTCCCTTTTCTGCATTACAGAAACTAGCTCTTGCCTTGGAAAGGTATCACTGTCTTTTCCACTGAGTTATCAAACATAAACTGAATTATCAAACTATGAAGTGCCTATCTTCTTTGCAATAGAAGTGTTTATTCAAGTATGTCATGGTAAGTTCACCAAAAACAAAGAAATGAAATAACCTTTTCTGCAATTTTCGTTCTTGGGATCTTACCTCTACCACCACCCCTTCCTCCTCCACGTCCTCCACCACGTCCTCCTCTACCACCTCCTCGAGGAGCACCTTTTTCTCCAGGAGGCCTTGGTAAAAATCTCTGAAGGGGTAGCAGCTTTGCTGGATCAATGTAAAACTGCAGGAAGAAAGTTCTATTAGGCTTTGAGAAAACCCAGGTTAAATCCTTAACAGACAGTCACAATTTCGTCTTAACTCATTATGTCAAATTGCCTTTTGCAAAAAGCCAAGTAAAAAAAATCATATGCAAAATAAATCAGTGTTATGAAGTTATTAAAATACATATGATATACATATTTATTAAGTTTCATTCACTTTTTTTGTTATTTAGGAGAGGGAAGTGCATAGCAGATGTAAAAGTGAAAAGGATGAGTAAACAAACACATTTTCAAAGGACAGCTAGCTTTTAAAGTCAGTAAAATCTCTTAATAAAGCTTTTGTTATCTATTTGATTACATATCTAACTGATAACACATAATTCTGTTATTGAGATCAGCTAACCTTTTGCATTTTTTTGAATGAAGAGGCTTTCATGTTCTCAGACAGTTTCACTGAAAAATACTGTTAGCTTCTTTAAGGAACACACCAGGAATAAAAATGAGAAGTATCACATTCGATTATTACATGGAAGAATCTACACACTTCAGACATTTTCTAAATTCATATTCCATAAATGAAGCTAAACATCATCACTACAAATGAAAAACTACAACTTAATGATCAGGAATAACTGTTTCTAATTTTCCTCGTAGTTACAAAGACAACATTTCATGCAAACATTACTTTTTCCTTCCCACATATTGAGGTATAAACATACCAGCAGAAAAGAATACATAAAAATGTAACCATAAAGAAACAAACTTGTTTGACAAGTGATCGTCTCTCAGACTTATTCAGAACAATGTGGATTCTACAGTAGCTTTGCTATGACTGTCCTGGCCTGTACATCTGCCCAGCTGTGGAAAGAAACAGGCCAGCAGGGGCTGCTCAACCCAACCACAAGCTTTCTTTCAACTTACAGCAACACGGTGGATGCTCTCCGTAACTCCACAAACTACTATGGATCCTGTGGTTCTCAAGTGTGCAAGGATGGTTGTGCAAGGATGGTAAGCTGCTGGCTGACTGTTCAACAGTACTCAAGATTAAACAGGGAGCTAAGGAACCGCAAACTACACTTGAGCTCCCTTTATATTTCTTGGTTGTTATTGTAAGAAGAAAAAAAGTTTCTGAACTTTGAGTAATACTGATGAAAAAAGTAAATCTGCAAATTAATAAATTCAGATCAGAAAGGTGTTCTAAACCTGTTTTAAGCATATGAAGTAGAATAAGGAAATTAAATATTTTCATATTTTAGAGCAAACCCATTGAAGAAGCCAACAGGATTTGTGAAGGATACAAAGTCTCGTAGCTGCCCAAAAATTTCATCCACTTTGCCAATCTGTTCCTTATTATCCAAGTACACTGGTGCATTGAAATAAGGAACTTTGTTTTCTTCTGTTTTACATTTACAAACAAGATCATCTTCACACGGATGCATGAACTCTCCCAGTACTGAAATAAAGAACAAACAAACTGAATATCTTAAACACTCACTGCAAGTTACATGATTACAGCCTCTGCATATAACTTACAAACTACCCTCTCCGGAGGGCCCTGGTCATATCCGCCTCTGTTGAAGCCTCCTCGTCCACCTCCCCGTCCAAAGCCACCTCGCCCACCACGATTAAAGCCACCTCTGTCACCACCACTTCCTCCACGATTAAAGCTGCCTCCTCCTCTTCCTCCTCCACCACCTCCTCGTCCTCCGCCACCACCTCCTCTTCCACGAAAAGACATTCTCTACTGCCTCCTACATTGTAGACAAAAAATCGGTTTAAGAAGTACGTATTCGTTAACATGCTGTTTGAATCAAGGTCTCCCGATGGTCCTGTTTAATGGTTACCCACCTCAGCCCCGACCGAAAACATGCAGGCAAGCCATAATCAAGTTCCCCCATTAAACACCGCCTATTTTAGGAGAAGTTTCTTCTCTGAAAGAGTGGTCGGGCACTGGCACGGGCTGCCCAGGAAGGTGCCGGTCACCGTCCCCGCAGGAGCTGAAGAACCGTGTGTAAGTGGTACTGAGGGACTCGGCTGGTGGGCAAGGTGAGACTAGATGATCTCAGAGGTCTTTTCCAACCTTAACGATTCTACGGCAATGCCTATCCATCATGAGGAACGGGACATATCAGGGTCGAGCATCATACTCCGCGGCCCACGGAGAGGCGCCGGACCGCCAGCTTCCCAAAGGACGGCCTCTCTGGAAGCGGAGCCGGACCCTGAAGGCAGACCAACGGCTTTAACGGCCCTAACGACGCCCGCGCACGCCCCAACCCGCACCATAAACCCTAGCCCCGCACACGTGCGTACCTAGCGTCCATACAAGCGCCGCCTGATGACCTCATCGTCACGCGCCGGAAAAGCAGCCATCCTGCCGTAAAGGAGAAACAAGCGCCTAGCGGCACTGTCGCAAAAGGGCCTTCGCAGGGGCTGGAGGTCCGTGGTACCGGCGAGACCGCGGTTTTCCTGGAAACCGCCCGCTGCCCCAGCAGTTGTGTGAGCAAATGTCGGCTGGTTACACTCTCGCACGGAGATGGTAGCGTTGCTGTTTCCGTTTGTCTGTCTGTCTGCCTGCACGGAGACAGACGTATCTCACCTAAAAACACATCTCCCCTGACAGCGCCCTGCAGAGCCGGCTGCCTGCTGCCAGGAAGTCGGGCCCGCCGCTCGGTCGGTCTGCTTTGGTAACAGCAGGGGAGCGAGACCCTGCTGAGCACTGCCTTGTAATCGCTGGCTTCAAGGGCTTTCCTTTGGGTCTCTATGTACAGTATAACAGGTTAAATGGGGTGGGATCCGTGTGGAGATACCAGACTCATCCGTTAATATCTCAGGCTCCTGTAATTGTTTCTGAGTCCACTTCAAAGTGTTTTACCAATGGTTAAAAATTAAACACAAACCTAACAACTGGCTATTGGGAAAATCCCGGCCAGGGGAATTTCTCTACAAAGAGATAAAACTTCATCATGAGAGTGGTTGCAGTTTTCTTGGTTTGCTTCTCTTTCTTTTCTTTCTGTCGAGTAAAGGTAAGAACTGATTGTTTGTTCCATTTGTGGTATCCGCTTATTTAGAAATAAACAAACAAACAAACTGAACAGTTAAAACAGTTTATTATTATAAAAACAGAAAGATAGATTTTTTTAAATTATTTCCTTTTGTAGCATTTGCATTTCGTACGTTTTAGTCCAGTTTGAGAATTTGAATCTTGCTGTTTCTCCTCCATATACTGGTTCTATCTGAGGTTTACAGTAACAAGCTTCTGGAAAATCTTTTAATCGGGATCCTATGCTAAACCCAACTTGCAAGTGTGGCTCAGCTCAGAAAGCTTTTGTTATAAAATCCCTTCTGGCAAAAGCCTCTCAGGAAGTTCTGATGGGCTCCTTGTTCAGCAAACTCTGAGCTTTTCAGAAAAACCCGTAGATAAAGATCAGCACCTTCTGTTGCTACTCAGTCAAAACTGAGGAGAAACAACTAGTGCAATATGGGAGTTAAGCCAAGCAGGGTCTGGCTCAGAGTTTGGTATGTAAATTTAAAGATAATGCATAGGATTCTACTGACCTGAGAAGAACAGGAAGAATTTATTAAGATTATACAGCCCTTAAAAGGGTGGGAGGGGCTCGGATTAAATTCTGTCCCGGCAACATTCCCACTGCCTTTACTTAGGCCAGGATTTCTTCATGAGAACTTTAAACTTTGGCTCTGTTGATTCAGTGGATGCACTCAAAAGCTGATAAATCTCATCTGACAACTGACATTTCTTTTTCATCTTTATTCTAAGTCTAGCTACATATTTTTCACGATTCAACATTCCCCTTACCCTCAGATCTTAGTGAACAAAAGCACTCAGCCAGCAACAGAATAAGCAGAGAGCTGCAGGGTTAGGTGTTATCACTTACCTAGAGACAGACAGTCAGATGGAAGGATCAGGAGCACTTCTTGCTGTCTGTAACAACCAGAAACCACACTGCAAACCCACTGCCATCAAAGATACGGGAACAAAATGGACTGGGAGAGGAATTTAATTTTAACTTTTGTTGAAGATACTTATATGTATTATTTGCAATGAAACAAATCACTAACTTTAGATTTATTTGTTTCTAAGTAGTTATTGGCTATAGTTAAAGTCAACTGAGACAATGAAAAGGTCTTGAAAAAAAAATCAAGTTCCTACTTTTTTTTAAATTTTATTTTTCTTCTTAGAAGGAGCCCTGAGCACCCTGGTCTAGTATTAAATGTGGAGGTTGGTGGCTCTGCCTGTGGTGGGGGGGAGGGGAGGTTGGAGATTCATGATCCTTGAGGTCCCTTCCAACCCTGGCCATTCTGTGTGATTCTGTTAAGTCCCCTTATATTTTAATTTGCTTACGGTTCCATTGTTGTGGTGTGCTATAAACCACTGGCTTGAAATGTTTATCATCTTCTGTTGCACACTTCAGCTGATTTTTAAAGAGTATAGTTTGTGAGTGACCAGTAATAGTGGAAATCATACCAGGGGAATGATCTGAAAAAGAAAAGAAAAAAAATCCAGAAAAACAGAAAGGTGGATATCTCAAAGACAAGGGGAAAAACACTACAGATATTTAGCACTTCCATTCTTACAAGATAGGAAAAGGCTCACAATCACTTTGCTGAGGTATACAGGGGATCTGCAGAACTGCTAGTGCAATCTCTAGTCCTGTTCAATATTTGGTTTTGGGTTGCTTTTGTTTTTTTTTAATTTGTGCCTTGCAGAATGCAGCATCTAATGATACAGAACAACTTCAGCAAGACAGTCAGCCAGCTGAGCGAGCTACTTACCTCCTAGAAGACTGTTTAAGCAACAAATACACACACAAGTCTTGCAAGAAAGTTTTTTGTGACCCATGGGAACGATGTGTGGAGGGAAAATGTCTCTGTAAGCTTCCCTACCAGTGTCCAAAGAATGGCACTTCAGTTTGTTCTACCAATGGAAAGCAGTTTCATACTTACTGCCACCTAAAAAGCTATGAGTGTCAACGTCCCGAAGCAAAGTTTCTGAACAAGGGAAAATGCACGTCCACAGGTACTATGATCTTTTTTTTCCAAAATGTATCAGTCATTCGTTTGATTACTGAAAGTGCTCTAACAAAAGTCTTACACTAAGATGCAACCTTTCCTCAGAAGACCTCCAAATATGCTTCCAGGGCAGGAAATGTTATCTTCGTTTGTTCTGAAGCTGGTATATTTTTAAAAGTATCAGGCTCAAAGCCATAACATCAGTTCTCAGAAAAAATCTGCAGTAATACCTCAAGCTTCTGATTCCCAACCTGCTGTTCATTCCATATGAACTCTGGATACCTACAACATACTTTAGGTCTGGTTTCTTCCTGTGCTGTCTTTCCACTAGATACATCTATAGAATACAGATTTGTATGCAATTTATTTATTAATTTATTTATTTTTAGAAACATTTAAAATCTCCTTGATCTATAAGGATTCACATTTGCTTCAAGTAAAACCTGTGAATAACGAGGACCTTTTTGTATGTGAGAGTATGTGGACTATGAATGAAGCAAACGTGGCCTGCAGACACCTTGGCTTTGAATTGTAAGTTTGGGGAATTTCTCTCTCCGTGACTGCAATGGATGTGAACGAATAGTGATGCTTCTATAAGGGTCAGTCAGTCAGCCAACTATGAAGAGAAAATCCATGAACAATATATCGGCTACAGTAAAGCTTCCTGTAAGCAAAAGCCAAAACAGATTTCTGCATTTTCTTACAAATCACAACTGTTCAAATGATTAGCATTTTACTTTTAAAATAAAGTTGAAGTCTGATAGATGAGTTTTCTCTCAAGTCTGTATAAGGGAAAGTGCATAGATGGCTGATCCCCAAATGGCTGTGATCAATGAACTGCTCGTAGGGAAAAGTTTCTTAAACTGGCTGGCCAAACAGTACAGCTGTGTTTTGCTACTTGCAGCAGCCAGACTAACAAGAACCAGAACACAGTTTTTTTTCCTTGACCGTTCATCACCATTTTTTGCCTTGCCCACCAGAAACAGCTGAGGCCACAAACAGCTTGTTCTTTTTCCGAGTCCATACCAATGATCTGATTTACACAGTGAGGTCATCATAAACTGTCAACTTTATATCCTGTACATAATGATTTAAAACAATAGCATGAGTGAGCCACATAGGACTGCCTCTCAAACAGAGACTGAGAATGCTATCACAGTGCCTACATTTGTCCCCTATAGATGAGGATTAGATATTTCCCAGCCCTGATTCATACCTCTTTAGATAGCATAGAGAGAGGTTTGTTCTGGGACAGAGCATTCAGCCCTTGACTCCCATTGCAAGTCTTTCCAGTTATTTATTTACTCATTCCTTGTTTTCTTAAGAGAGAAGAGAGACACACTGTTAGAGGATTACATTCAGATGATTAATGAATGCCAATCTTGCAGTAGCTTGAGTTTCCTCAATATGCATTGGTTTTGATGGCACCACTAGTACTCAACCTCATGCAAGATGGTTTCTATCTATTGCCATACACAGTAACTGAGATGAGAGTGGCACAGATTCAGTGCCAGTTCTATGATGGAATTGGCAAAAACTGGCACTTTGTTTAACTTTTTCTTTCAAAGTAAATATCTCCTACTTTCCTCCTTACCTTATAACACTCCATGAGAAATCTGTTTTTTTTTTAAACTTCTTTAGTCATCAGCAAAGTTCCTTAACACTGGGGAAAATCATATAAATTCTGAACAATAAAAGCAGAGGACAATCTACTGTGAAATTACAGAATTTGTTACTGTTATTTGTATCTTTACAGAGGTGCTGAATATTACCACACTGACTACAACATCACAGAACCATCACACTGCTTCCAAATAATGTGCAGAGGCCTAGAGACAAGTCTTGCTGAATGTTACATAGAGAAGAAACTGAGAGCTAGTAATGAGGGATTTGTTAGCCTCCAGTGCCAGAAAACTCTCCGAGGTTAGTAGGGATTTTTTGGCATTAAATCTACTAAAAGCTGTTCACGTTAAGTTTATTTGAAATATATGAACTTAGGATCTATTTTGCTGAAATCTCAGCCACCACAAACCTGCAATGAAATCTTTTAATTTTTATCTTTTTTTTAAATAATCCTTTTGCAAACGTTTAAGACAACTGAGGCAATCTTGAGTTTATGACTTTGGAAAATAATGCACTGTTGCTCCTAGAATATCTTGGCAGATACTACCCAAAAGTGGACAAATTTCACCCATGGTTCTGGCTGTTCCCCCTTCCCTTCCAAGGCATATTACATCCCACGACTTTTGTTTCTCCTAGGTTAACTGATGAGGAGACAGATGACAACCTCCTACTTCCTTTGTTCTTGCTCTGGGAGATGAACTCAAGCTAACATTTCTGCTTTCGTCCATGTTTGGAAGAAACAAAATTCTCTTTTGCCAGGTCACTGAAAGTTGGAGGGAGAAAATACATAGTCACATTGAAAGTTTGAAGAGGAGGCAATGAAAACAGTAAAGGAGGCAATGAAAACAGTAAAAAAAAAAAAGATTCCTATTTACTTAACTAGGCCTTAAGTTGCCTACTATTGACAGGTCAAACTGAGTGAATAAAACGTGTATGCTGAGTATTTCCTTGGGCAGTTGTGAACCTACAGTCATTTCTATACTAACTTCATTTTCATCTCACTGCACAGAATGTTCAGCTTATGAGTTCCATTGTGCAAATGACAAGTGCATTTCTGTGACTAAAACCTGTGATGGTATAAATGACTGTGGAGACCTAAGTGATGAACTGTGCTGTAAAGGTAATAATTTACTTTCTCAGCTGTTTGAAGAACATTTCAGCAAAAATATATCCACAAAAAATTAATTCTTACAGTGATGTAATAATAAAGTCTCTATTGTGAAAAACAAAAAAACAACCAACCAAACAAAAATACTATAGTTTCTGTATAGGAAAGTACAAAAAAGTTTTATGATTCTATAATTACATAATTATACTAATATAAATATTGCAATTTTCCAAAGCAAGTAATTAACTGATCTCTGAGGATCTGGATTTCTTCCAATAATAAAAAAATGAGATTTAGGAGGCTGTTGATACAAACAAAAACAAAGAAACAAAACCCAACTGTATTACACAGAATTAAATGTATTTTCAAATAGGGCAAAACTGACAGTAATCAAACAAAACCATGTTGGTTTTTTTTCAGTGAACTATCTTAAACTAAAATGAGATCCTTCTTAATAGCATAATTATATATATATTATTTATATGTATATTAATATATCAATATTATATTAATATTATATGAATATGTATATTAAAATATACATATTTTAAAACACCAAGACAGTAAAATGAGCAGAGTCAAGTATTCACATCATTTTACACTTACAGACCCCACTTTCAGGATCTATTTATAAATAGCAAAGTCCCCCATAACGTGGATATTTTATTGGGTTTATTTTTTAAGAAGCTCTCTAACTACATGAGGTCACTGAATCATATAGTCCTGTGCTTTACCATTTTACTTCTGTTATATTACAGAATGCAGAAACAACAGTTTCCACTGTCGATCAAATATCTGTATTCCAAAAAAGAATGTGTGTAACAAAGAAATTGACTGCCTAACAGGAGAGGATGAAGCTCAAGCTCTCTGTTCAGGTTTCCTTTTAAGATGTGTTTTTCTTTCTTTTACTTTCGTTATGCTAAATTAAACCTACAGCTACACAATGCATGTTCTTAAGTCATTTGTCAGATTAACAAAACCAAAATGCATGCAAGAATTAGTCTTTCTGATGTTATGTTACATTTACTAGGAGACTAACAAAAGGTTACATACTCTTCCTTCCCTTCCTACTAGAAATAAATGGCAAGAAAACTAAAGGACAGAAGAAACAGATGATGTTTTAGGAGGCTTAAAGCAGATTATGACTTTTGCATGCATGGACATCTATCAAATTGGTATCCTGTTTTAGGGAAGAAAATGTAGATGGAGCATGCAGGAACCTCCTTGTGCATAAGGAATTAATTTAACTAGTTTGTTAATATAATAGTTCATCTGTACTGTTCTCCTTACCATTGAAAATACCTTGTTTTGTTTTGAACTTAGAATATTTTAGATAAGAGACAAAGTGTAAAGCCAAAAAGTAAACATTTTCGGTACATGGTAATTGGTAAAGGTAAACTGAACCCTAGAAGTAAACATTACTGTCAGTAACATGAGAACAGAGCCAATCCTCAGCCTCCATTTAGGAAGTGAATTCAATGGGTATTTTGTTTGAATAAAAGCTGACAAACCAGATTCAGGAAGCGTTTAGTTTACCTCTTGTGTTGAATACCCTCCCTTACCCTTAAAAGGAGTAAGTGTTAAAGGAGGCAAGGAGTACAGAGCAGCACCATCTAAATTGGAAAGAAAAAAATATGCATCCTTTTACCTTTTTGCCTAATGCTCCTTTGGGCTTTAGAAAGCTCCAAAGGATTGATGGGGCAGGAGGAAGAATTTCTGGTGTTTCCTGGTAGAGGAGAGCAGTCTGTTGCTTTAGAGATTAAAAACAAACAAACAAAAAAAAACAAAGGAGGCCATTTCGCAGGGTTTCTTTGCAGAAAGGTCCTCTGGACAAGAAGAAGGAAGAGTAGATATCATGTGGTTATAAATGAGTATCTGCTGGATGCAGATCATTTGTAAGCTGTGGCAGCAAAGAGTGCCTAGGAAGAAAGGAAACAGCAGGCACCATGCTTATAGAGTATTGCTGTCTGTATGAAATGGTATGCACCTTATCCAGGTAAAAATGTACCATGATTTTGGTACATCACTAAACATCCAAGTAATAGAATGCTGTAAATATTTGTCAATATTCTTAGTATTTATAATTTAATATTTAGTATTCCACTACAGGCAAGCCAAAACATGACGAAAATCACAGTATGGATGCAGGTAAGTAAACCCCCACAAACCCTGCATACCCTCTTTTTAGTGGCTTTCTAGCTACCAGCCAGTTAGCCAGACCTGCAACACTCATACATGGACTTTGTGGTTTAGTAGTACACACTCTGGGATTTAACTATTTCCACTAATCTCAATAACAATAATAATAATTCATCCTGCCTCAGGATCCACATCTGTGCATTAGCAACGGAAAGAGGTAAACTCTAAGCAAGTCTATGGCCACTGCTTTGAAATTATTTACCTGAATGTTGTCAGCAATGGAAAATCAAGAGAAATAATGCGATGCTAAGACAGAAGTAATTTTCAAAGAAAAACAGATGCTTTCCTAGCTACTTGCATACTCACAGCACTCATGATTTCAATGTAAAGATAAGTCTGTCTCCAAATAGAGAAAATGAATGCTTGAATTCTGAGACGCATTTTTCCTTTTTGTTAAAGAAAGAAAACTGGCAAAGACGTTCCTTCCCCAAATAAACTGTGGTGTTGTAAATCTCACATTAACTCGACGGAAAAGAATCATAGGTGGACAAATTGCAAGGAAGGTAAAAAATAATAATATCCCTCCATCTTCCTCCCCCTCCCTTCCACACACAAACAAATCTTACAAATATAGGATCATGTGTTCATTCAGTAACAATTTAAATTTCATTATTGTCCTTCTGTTAAAATGTACAGAAATAACAAAGTCAGTTACAACATTAATTTCATATTTTACATTGCACTGAATGAATATAAATAGAAGCACAGTTAATAAGGTGAAACACCAAGCTACAAAATCCAGCATTACAGTGCAAGTATGCATTGAAAATGATCCAGCAAAATACTTAACACTATAGCTATGTATGATAATTATAGTCATAAACATAATGTTTGATCATACCAGATCAGATCTTCCATCTATTTTTTTTCACGATACTCTTGACAGAAAGCTGGAGGAAGGGAGACACTGCATAACGTCAGAAAACAAAACAGTTACCGTAGTTTAGAATACAGAGCCTTTGTATCAGAGCCCAAATTACAGATAATTTCTTAATAGATTTTGTCAAAGAGATGAAGTGATATGGTGTTTCCCTTTATGCACAAAAAATAGCACAATGATAATTTCATATTATTTGGGTTTCTGTCATTTTAATAGGGTGAATTCCCTTGGCAAGTGGCAATTAAAGACACTGGCACTGAAGGTGCAACAGTGTACTGTGGAGGGGTTTATATTGGTGGCTGTTGGGTTCTGACTGCTGCACACTGTGTCAGGTAAAAGCAACAACCTGAGAAATTACTTCTTTGCAAAGTAGAAAAGATGAATCTGTGCATTATTGCTCTTCTCAGCTACTAGGTTGTTAATTCTTACTTGCCCATTTAACAAATCAACTAAAATCACTGACTTGCTCACATTAACAATGGGAGGGATTCAAAGGCAAAGTATTTTGTCACTGAGCAAAAACATAATTATGAGTTACCTCCTCTCAGCACTGGGAAGGTCTAGCACCTGTCCTCCAGGAATGTCCCTGGTGCCACATATTCCCCAGTGCCAGCAGGAGCGGGCAGGAAAGACCTGCCTAGCCTAGCCCAGTGTTCCATGTGTATTTGCTCATTCTTCCTTCATCTGCTATCAGAGGCATAAGCCTTGCTTTCCCTTTGTGAAGGCACTTAACACACTGGCTTTTAATACAGTCTTTCTGTCTTAACTGCAGGATTTTCAGGAACTTCAGCTCAGCAGTAAGCGTCACCAGCCTTGCTTTAGAACAATCTGGACATGCAAGTCCAGAAAGAAACTATAATGTGTATAGTGTATAATATGATTTTTTATTCTATGAAAACTTTGTAAAATGCAAAAATTTATGACTAATTGAAACATACAGCGCTTGTGTAATGTACCAAAAAATATTTTTTTACTTCATTGGCTTTTTTTCCAGAGCAACTCGAGTTCATCTATACCGTGTCTGGATTGGGCTGTTGGATACAATACAGTATGACAGGGAGACAGACACTTACAGACTAAAGCAACTGATAATCCATGAGAACTATAATGCTGCAACATATGAAAATGACATTGCTCTGCTGGAGCTGAAAGGTCACGGAAAAGGAGAGTGCTCCCTGAAATACAGCACACCTGCCTGCATCCCCTGGTCAGAGCATATGTTCAAGGCTGGTGATAAATGCAAGGTTTCTGGATGGGGATTAGAGAAAGGTATTTGATTCAGTGCTTACTACCAGAATGTATTATTTTTAGCTATGTTTTTCAAACAGTGGTCAGCTCATACTGAGAAGGCTAAAGAGTGGTGCACGCACAGCACTTGCAAGAGGCTGAGCACAGCAAACGCATGCTGTTGGCATTTGGCTGTCAGTTCTCTTTTTTGTATTGTCCCAGTAAATTGATTTGGAGGACACCTTTTTGAGAACTAGCCTGATAAAAGGCAACGTTCGGTTTAAAGTTTTATCTGCAGCCTGACTCCACAGCAGCACATTTGTGTCAGCACAGTGCAGCGAGAGAGCAGGAATGAGACAGCAGGAGTGAGATGGCAGCATTCAGACAACGTATGCGTAAGCAAAAAACTTATTTGTTGTGCTGCACCTATACATGCTTCTCAAAGAAGACAAGAGCTGTTTAGTACCCCTGAGGCATCCAGGAGAAGCAACTGTAATCACCAGTCTCATATTTATCTTAGGTTTATCTATGCAAACCTGGTAACAGTATTTAACACACAGCCCATGGTCACAGCCAGACCTCTGTGCCTTGCCCAAATGGATCTGAGATGCAATCAGGAGTTACGAAGCTCAGCACATCTCATCTCAACCATGCATAGGTTCAACACAATGAAGGTTAGGTCCAATGCAGTCACGCTTTCAAAGCCTTCGGAAGCAGTTGGTTTGTATCACAGAATGACTGCAGCCAGGCATAAGAGCACTAGCAGTCCATAAACAAAATACAAAGTTGAGAATTACCACCAAACATAGACCAAAATAGGGCCTCTTCTTAACCTTGTACTACATAGCTCACTTGTTTCTACAAGTTCCAGTCCTCTCATCTTTCTGAGAAAGAGAGGTAACAAAGATGATCAGAGTCATTTCTCCATTTAACAGAAAACAATATACTGGTCTTCCAGTAGTATAGCATCTGGAAACCCTGGTATGGAAAACACGGGGAAAAAAAAAATAAAGAAAATAACAAAGGAAAGGAGTAAAAATCACAAAAAATTTAACTACTGCATTTAATACTACAATTTAACCACTCTGCTTTTATTTTTAAATATATGGGCAATGGATGTGGGGCGAGTGTTAGCTGCAGATTAAGGTACCTGGTTTATAATATTTAAGATTACATTCAATAAATAAGCAAATCTATACCATTCAACTTATGATATTGAAAATGTTTCATACACATTTATCAGTTTAAATTTAGAAAAAGTTTATTGTTTTCTTTTCTAGGTTATACCAAACAATACGTGCTCAAATGGGGAAATGTTAATTTATTTCAGAATTGTTCCGAAATGTATCCAGGCCGATTTTTACAAAAAATGGCATGTGCAGGCAAGTATGAATTTTCTTACTATAATTTCCTTACCATCATGCCCACAGTTTTTAAGGTCTGACATACTGGCTGGGAAATCTTTTAGACTTGAAAAATGCAATAAATCAAATGCAACAACGTTGTCATTAGCAAAGCACTAGCCACTGGAGCCTACAGTCATCTGCTGTTAACTATCTAATTATAAACAGTTATTGTGACAGTATGCCAAGTTTCAGTGATTGTAGGCAAATTTCAGCACACCGTTGGAGTCACGTTTTCTAAACACACAAGCACTTTACAGCCCACTGAACTTACTCCTACCTCTACTTTATTCTGATTCAGGAACATAATAAAGCAAATGCCTTTTTTGGAGCACATTCACAGTCCTGCAGACTAGCATGTGACTACTCATCTGTTGAGATGTTTTCTACCACTAAATCACACCCCAGGAAAAATACTATAAACTTTTCAAACAAAGATTAGTCTGGCCAGGAAACTGGTTGTCATTCCTAATGCTAAAATAAGCATTTTGAGTACACATTTTTGCTTTTCAAGTAACAAAAGGTGTTGCCAAACACATGTCTTAAAGAGCAATGAGTTTTCAACTTACAGGACAAATAGTTTCAACTGTTCTTTAACTCTGAAGTAAAGGTAGGATTTAAACAAACTACATAACAAGACAAATCAAAACTGTATAATAAGAGCTTAACCATTTGTGAATAAATTCAATACAATGTGAATGCAGATATAAATTTTGGAATTAAGGACTGGTATCTGCTGAAGTTACTGAAACAAGGTAACATTAGTGCAACTGAGTAAGGGCAACAAAATCTAGTTTTGCTGTATTAGTCTTTCCAATCCTGAAACACTCACAAAACTCTTTCTCAGTAACGCAGAGACTCAAGAAAGAGGTGACATATTTAAAAACATGGGGAATCTTGCTCAGTATGGGTTCCTTCATACTAGGTCAATCAACAAAGTAGAAAGGAGTGAGAGACAACTTTACACACTTCCACTGAGTCTATGGGACAAAGCATTAATTGTATTCCAACTCTATAAAATTTCTGCCAATATGATATTCTTTCCTCTTTTATTTTTAAATTATTATTATTATTTTTACAACCACTACATTTGCTAAATTGGAAACAAGTAGTTTCAAAATCCCAGAAACTTGTAGACAGCACCATAGCCCATACGCTGTGTCTCAGAGCTGTCACCTGGTGCTCCAGATGGTCTGCACTTCAAGTGCCCTATCAAGGGCTCCAGTTAAACACAGCTGCACTCTCTTGTATCTCATCATTCATGTACTATCCGTGGACCTGCCCACCTTTTGCCATAAAGCTTGTAGAGAAATAAATTTTGAGGTTTCTGCTTCTGCATAGCTCAGAGGAAATTGGCCAATGTATTACTGGGTAGAAAGGACATCAATAGCAGATGTAGAGGAACATGCATATTATAGCTTAATTTCCAGAGGGATCAGTCTAATAATCTTACCGTTTTATTCTACTTTCTGTCCCCTTTTTATAAGCTACTTCTAATGATACAATATATGATACGTCTGAATTCTTCGCTGTTACACAATGTATAACAAGAATCACATTTCCTGACATGAAAGCAAATGAGCTTTTGGCCCAGCCAAAATTATAAAGAGGCCTGCACTTCAAAATAATTAGGAAGTAGTAGATCAAAGAGGTTGGGAACTTCAAGTACTAGTGACTGTCAGGCAGGCACCTGCCTGGAAGTGACATGGATCTAAAATGCCACCTGAGCTCTACTTTGTGTGCTAGTTTGCATATAAACTTACTTCTGAGTTGTTGTTGTTTCCCCTCTCTTGCTACAGGTACTTATGATGGATCCATTGACAGTTGCAAAGGTGATTCAGGAGGTCCCCTGGTCTGCTTTGATGCAGAAAACGTGGCGTATGTCTGGGGTGTTGTGAGTTGGGGTGAAAACTGTGGGGAGGCCGGTCACCCTGGCGTCTATACACAAGTTGCCAGCTATTATGACTGGATTAGCCACCATGTGACACGGAGTCTCATTTCACGATATAATATCTGAAGCTCAGGAAACTAAACACTTGTTATCATCCATGCAGAAATTAACACTAGTCCATTTTTACAATAGCAGCCATATACCTTAGCAACTATTAGTACAAATCTTGAAATAACGTAGTTTGAAAACGTTCGGCTCTCCACAAATACAACAGCTTTACAGAAGTCTGCACAAAAGAGTTTTACAGTCATATAAGTCCACGGCAAAATTATCTAATAAAACCATGTTCACTGCAAGGACAACTTTTTGTTGCTGTTATTTCTTTTCTCTCTCCCTATATTTCACACCACTTTCAGTAGTAATTGTTTATTTTAAATGGACAACCATACTGAAAGCAGCGGTCAGAAAACCAACTACACTACCAATATGTGAATGTCACAGAAAGGACAGCACCCAGAGAATGGAAAAGCAATTCCATCATATCAGGGTGTAGGTCTTTAGAAACCCTCAGGATGCTGCTTTGCTGGGCGGATGATCCTTTAAGCTTACCTAGAAACAGAACTTCAGTCCGTGTGATGGACTGAACATGATTGTGAGATTTGTTGATGTTTTGATGAGTAACACAAAGAAAAAACACATCCTTACAGGCCTCTGATCCTGTGCTATGCAGTCACAGGAAGTTAGGCCATGCAGTTATTCAGAAAGTTACCCACAAAGAGAATGATGTGGTAGGTAGGGTAAGCCCCGAGTCCACTAGGAAAGTTCTGGTTCCTTTTTAAAAGCCAGTAGTTTTGTATTGGTACAAATGACTTCAGGACCATTTCAGTCCTGTCGAACTGTGCAACAATTTTGTAACACCCTTTGCTAGATTCCAATTTACAAGTGTTTGAAAAAAAAAAAAAGACCTATTTTGCTTCATTCCTCTCGATCAGCTATCCCACCAAATCAATAGCATACATTCACATAGACACTGGGGAAAAGGGGTGGGTTCTGTGCAAGCTTTGTGAGTTTGGGGGTTGGTCTGGAGCTTGGTTTTCAATGATTCACCATTACGTACTTCAGGCAACATTCTGACATTTTCACTGACTTCATTCTCCACTGACTTGTTAAAAAAAAAAAAAAAAAAAAAAAGCCGCATCAGCATGAATTGGGCAAGTCGGTCACCTACGAGCAAAGCAAGAGACAGCTTTCCTTACACGCCCCTACCAAGGCTTTCCGTTCAGGAACGTGCATGAGCACAACACCCCTTCCCTGGAACTGCTCCGCCGAAGGAGGGCTTCCGTACAGCAGCCTCAGGGACGGGCACTTTCCAGTATAGGTGCGGCAAGAGCTCCCTCTTCTGTCTGACAACATCTGCTGACAGCTTTTCCTACTAGTCCAGTTAACAATAACGAACGTAAAAGACTGAAGAGGAAAAACAAGCAAGCAAACAAAAGCCCAAACACACAACAGCATTTACCAGGTATTTTTGATCTCACCTGTCCGTGTTCTTTACATTTCCCGTCCCCTGCAGTTACCTGTGTCCTAAAATCCTACTATGCCTGTACTCTGAGGAATTCCACACGTCTTAAAACAAGGCTTTCGCTGCAGAAATTAAAACTACTCCCGCGTGGTTCCACTCTGCCTCGCCTAAGAAGCGCAGAACGCGTTGTTAGAGCAGGGTATCAGTCAGTACCGCAACACTAGGCTTTCGGCGCTGAACAGAAGTTCTCCTGCACTGCCCCAATTGCGGTCGCACCGCACGCGCTTGGTGCCGTTACCTGGAAGCGAATCGCTCGCACGTGGAAAAGCCCCGGAGCAACTCCGCTCCCAGCACCCCCCGCGGCGACGCCGGGCCACAAACAGACTCCAGCCGCGTTCTCCCAGCAGGCCACGCCCTGCCCTCAGTCCCGCCCTGCGTTGGGGCGGCGCCCGCGGGGCCGATGGCGGCGGGCCGGGCCGTTCGCGCGGGGTGTTGCGGCCGCGCGGTGGTGGCTTAGCGAGTGCCTGGCGGGGCGGGGTGCTGCTCGGCGGGCATGGCCCGCGCCCTGCTGCTGCTGCCGCTGCTGATGGCGGGTGCCTGGGTAGGCCCGCGGTCGCCGGCGGCCTGGAGCCAGGAGGCGCCGCAGACCCCGGACTGGAGGATGACGCTGAAAACCATCCGGAACGGCGTGCACAAGATCGACGTGTACCTCAACGCGGCGCTCGACCTCCTCGGCGGCGAGGACGGCCTCTGCCAGTACAAATGCAGCGACGGTGAGACGAGCGGGAGGGCGAGCGGGGACCCCTCCGGCAGCTGTCTGTAGCTCCGAGAGCGGGCTTCGCCGTGCCGCCCTGCCCCGCTCCAGGAGCGGCGGCCTTACCCGCTTCCAGCGGCGTCTGCGGGGAGCCGGCAGCCGGCGGGCCGGCAGGCTGAGCCCGAGCAGCGCCGTGCTTCCTGCCAGGGAGTTGCAAAAGTTAAGCTGAAAACATCAGAGTAGTGTTCTTGATTGCATATAAAGTACCTTAGAGTAAGTTCATTAATTTTTCAAAGAACCTCTGTTTTTTTTAAATGTAATTCTATGTGTGATGTATTAGTTTCAGATATTCGAGGCTTTTCTTTTTTTTAACTTGAAATCTAAAGTAAATATTTGCTCAGGTGCCTTCTCATTGTTTTATTATTTCTTTATTATTATTTATAACGTGCTTAGTTATTTCAATTTGATAAGAGTTGCAGACATTCAGGTGCTTATATCAGATGTGCAGCTGGTGCTGTCTCAGGCCCATCAGAATGCCTGCGCTGAGTTTTGACAGTGCTAAAAATCTGGAAAAAAAACTTTTTGAAGCACTAGAAACTATCTTTTTCAGGATCAAAGCCCTTTCCTCGCTATGGATATAAGCCTTCACCGCCAAGTGGTTGTGGATCACCTCTGTTTGGAGTTCATGTAAGTCCATTTGGGGGTTTCTGTGTGTGTGTGGTTTTTCATATGCTGACTTTCCTTGAGCTGGTTGGTGTTTTTCCTCTCACTTTCTAAGGATGAGACAGCACTTGTGTGCTATGTCCCTGCTTTTGTTAGCTCGGGCAATGCTTTGGCAATAATATGTGGGCAAGGAGCTGGGAGGGGATGCAGTTGAGACAGACTCGGAAGCCAAAGGAATGTTCCTTACCATGTAACATCACTCTCAGCAATAGAACTGTTGTGGATAGAGAAGGGGCAGAGAGGGAGTGTTTCTGAGGGATAGGCTGGGCATGAGGGGTTGGTGAGTGACTGCTTTTGCATGGCTTATTTTGAGTGGCTTTTCCCTTTTCTGCTCACTTATTAAACTTCTGTCTAGAACTACACATTTTCTTGTTTTTGACCTGCCTGTTATATACCCTGACCTGTGAGGGGCAGGGGTTAAGCAGGCAACTATGTGGGTATTTGGCTGCTAGCTGGGGTCAAACCAGCACAGCTTAGTGAACAGCAAACGATAGAGATAAGTGAATGACAGCTGCTGATTACTTTAGTTTTTGTTTTCTAATTTTTATACTCTATCATGTTCATAGGCTCTTTCTTTTCTCTTATACATTACTCATGGTGCATGTGGGATTTTTCCCCACAGTTTGACATTGGTATCCCTTTGATGACAAAGTGCTGCAATCACCACGATAGATGTTACGATACTTGTGGCAATAAAAAAAATGACTGTGATGAGCAATTTCAGTCCTGCCTCTCCAAAATTTGCAGAGATGTGCAGAAAACACTTGGTATATCAGAGAACGTACAGGGTAAGTCTGATAAATGCTTTTTTTTTTTTTTTTTTTTTTTTTTTGGCCCCTAAGTTTTACTAAGCTTGTCTGGCAAAGAATCTTTTTGCTGCACAGTAATGCTACATTTCCATAAACTGATGCTGTTGCTGTTGTTCTTTCCTTCTGTATGCAGCCAAGACGCAGCTGAGCAATTACACAACATAGGAAAATTACTAGAGTTAAAACTAACCTTGAGCTGAAAAAATAAGGCTTCCCTTCTAGGACTATCAAAACACCCTGTAATTGTTGCATTTGCAGTAGTGTAGCTGAATGTTGACTGTTCTGCTGACTGATTTCTAGAGGTCTACTACATATAAACAGTAGGAAAATACTCAATTGTTTCCTTTTGTGAAATGAAGTATTAAAATAATATATTATTATAGTAGAATACTATCCCTTAATACTATCCGTTAGTGCATATATTTTAGGTTTTTTCCGAACAGTCTATAATCCTGTGATTGCATTTCTTCTGTTTATTGGCCTGCATCTGATCAATACATGACATAACCACACAATTTAGACAATGGTTCTTTTTCAGTAAAGAGTTCCACTGAAAAAAATCAGTTTTTAGAATAAGCCTGTATTTGAATTTCTCAGATTCATGTAACTGCAAAGAGCTCATCATATTTCTGTATTTCTGCTTTGTCAGAACTGGTGAATATTTATTTACTCATTTCTGTTGAGCTCCTATTAAAGGAGGTTTGCATAAATACGGCTGTTTATGAGGGTGGATAGCGATTAGACAAGGGGGAGGTTTAGGTTAGATATTAGGAGGAAGTTTTTCACACAGAGGGCGGTGACATACTGGAACAGGTTTCCCAAGGAGGTTGTGGATGCCCCATCCCTGGAGGCATTTAAGGTCAGGCTAGATGTGACTCTAGGCAGCCTAGTCTGGTGGTTGGTGACCCTCCCCCATGGCAGGGGTTTGAAACTTGATAATCACTGTGGTCCCTTTCAACCCAGGCCATTCTATGGTTCCGTGATAAATTGGGAAAGTAAAAGGTATAACAGTTCTTTCATCTTTCCAAGACTGAGTGATGCTTTTAACACCAACAACATTCCATAGCCAGTGAATCACCTTGAGTGTTGTGACTGGTACGTGAAAAATCTTTAATCACAATTTAGCTGATTCTATATCAGTTTATTCTTTTCTTTTGACAGTCTGTTTGCAATGCTCAGAAAAGATTGCTTTTCAAAATCCTTCTCAGTTTGCCAGAGTCATGCCTATTAGTTTTGTATTCTATCTAAAGAGTACTTCTAACTGAATGTCTCTTTGCTTGCAGCTTGTGAATCAATCGTTCAGCTGTTGTTTGATGCAGTTATACACTTAGGATGTAAGCCATACCTTGACAGCCAGAGAGCTTCATGTATGTGTCGCTATGAGGATAAGACAGATCTCTGAAAGGTGTGAATGTCCAGCAGTTAGGAATGAAGTAAAACAACTGGAATGAAACAAATGTTTTACGCTTCTCAAGCCTGACATAAATGCTCTTTTTTTTTAAAAAAAAGAGACTATCACGAAGTCATCCATAAAAGAGAAGGACCAATTCATGA